GCTCCTGATCTGGCTGCATTCTGTTGTCAATCCATTCTTACTTCATTTAGAAGTTTCCTGGTCATTCTGTCTCCGGTTTTATTTGACAGTAAAGACCCAAGCCTCCCCATAGTAATGTGAGTACATTGTTCATGGATCAGCACTGAGCACTGAACAGTCTCCACAGATTTGGGGCTGATGAGGTTTTTCAGTGTTGCTCTTTCAAAAGGCAATTTATGAACCAGGCATTTTAGGAGGCCGACACAGGTGGATCTCTGTGAGCTCAAGGCCAGCCAGGTCTAAAAAGTAAGTCCAGGACAGCCAAGACTACAGAGAGAAACCCTGTCTCAGAAAGTGAACAAACCCAACCAAAACCAAACCAAAAGGCAATTTATGGAGCAGAGATGCTGAGTGTGTGTGTGTGTGTGTGTGTGTGTGTGGACAAATGAGAGGGTGGGGGTGCTGTGTATGTGTCACAGGTTCCTGACCAGAAATCACTTTGTGAGAAATTATCAGTGTGAGGGTATCTGGTGAAGTCCTGTGGATACTTGGGGCAGCCTGGGGCTCCCTAAGACTTTCTTGTGTAGATTTTGGACTCATTTTTCATGATTGCTGGATGATATGGTTCTGTCAGAGTCCAGGGAAAGTGCTGGAGTGGTTGGTTCTCATATGGTATAATGCAAAATCTGCTTAGAACTTCAAATAGACATATCCACGACACATTACAATACAGATGTTAAATATACAAAATAAAGATTTAATCATAAAAGAAGCATGGGGAAAAATCCCGACAACTCACATACAAAGACAGAAACACCAGAAACACCCCAGACTTTTCATCAGAAAATATGTTGAGGTCTAGATCCATTTGAACTTGAGATTTTTGCAGGGAGATAAATAGGGATCTATTTACATTGTACTACACGTAGACATCCAGGTAGACCAGCACCATTTGTTGAAGATGCTTTCATTTTCCATTGTATAGTTTTGGCTCCTTTGTAAAAAATCAAGTGTCTGTAAGTGTGTGAGTTTACGGTAGAATTATGGGGGTCACTTTTGTACATTATCATATCATCTGTGTCTGTTGCATGCCTTTTGATCACAGTGTTGCCAGGACACTGGGAAAGAGGAAGTCCACAGTCCTAATGAGACTGGGCTGGATGTGCTCCTGCAGGTTTGTGTGTGTGTGTTGGTTCTCTCCTTCTCTGAGGGGCAGGGCAGGGGGTAGAGGAGGATGAGAGAGGGACAGTGGGGAGGGACCTAGAGGAGAGAAGGGAGGAGGCTACAATTGAGATGCAAATTGAATAACTAAGTTAAAAAATATGAAGCCTGGAAGGACGTGAAATGGGCTGTTTCAGTCTCTGAATGTAAATAACTGTGAACCAAGAATGCTACAGCCTGCACAGCTATCTTTCAGTATTAATGGAAAAATTAAGTTATTTCAGGATAAATGCAAATTAGAGCAATTCATGACTACCAAGTCAGCACTGAAGAAATCTTTTAGCAGAATGCTTTATAGGAAGGAAGACGAAAGGTAGACTAACCTCAGATAAGCAATCCAGACAAGAGGAAGAAACAAACAAGTCCAACACAGCAGACATCAAACCCTCAAAACTAATATGGAATCAAGAAAAGAAATAACAAATATTCTAGGAAAGCAGAACACCACCCACAAATATAGTAACCTGTACATAGGAAATATCAAACCTTGTACTAATCTTAAATGTAAACGGCCTGGTGCATCACCAAAAAGATACAACAAATGGACTAGATTAAAAAAAGACAAAAGAACCAACTATATCCTGTTTTCAGGAAACACACTTAACTATTAAACATACTAAAAAACTTACTATCATAGAATAAAAACAAACTGTCAAACAATTAGAAAACATAAAATGTTGGTGTAGTTATCCTCATATCAGTCATAGTAAACATGCAACTAAAATTATTTAGAAGAGATTAAAAGGGGCAACTTCATATTAGTAAGATGAACAATTCATCAAGGAGATACGATGATTAGAAACTTTCATGCACAAATTTTGAGCCCCTAATTTCACAAAACATTAAAACACAAAAATCCACATTAGTCCTTACACAATGATAATTTGGGACTTCAAAATTCCACTCTCAGATTTAGATAGGGCTTTCTAACTAAAAACAGTTAAAGAAAATTCAGAGCTAAAATGTACTATGGGTGAACTGGACTAACTGAATAGACTGATAGAGAAGATTAGACCCAACAGGTGTAATATCACAGATACAAATTAACACTCAACGATGGAAAAGAGAGTGAGAAAATTCCTCATTTCCTATCAGAAAATGAAGAATGGTGTGTCCACAGTCCTTATAATCCTATTATCCCTCTAAGGCTCACAGGATACTGTGAAGTGTAAGAGCTGGGAGACGGGGAGAAGGGCTATAAATACTAAGCCTTGGTTGTGAGAAAGCTGAAGCAATCATAAATTCAACAGCAGCTACAGATGCTTACACTGGACCTGAACAGGACCAGGCCTATCATTAGGCAGTCTTGGACTGTGGAGGGCTCATGGTGCCCTACCCCCTCCCTGAGGAACTTATGAATTCTGATAGATGCTGGGTAAACAGGCTCTTATCTTCAGATGTATACTCACTGGTAGGCCCCTCCATCAGATAGTCTTCCTAAGTTCTAAAACATAAGAAGTAACATGAACGATGTAGAATACATTGTAATTTAGCATCTCTGAAGCAGGGAAGAAAACACCCAGGTCAGTGTGTGACTTCCTGAAATCTCTGGCCACTGTGTCCTTCTCCAGGATGCTCAGCATCTGAGAGAACTGAGCAAACAAACCTTGTGTCTCTGCCCACAGCTTACAATCTCTGATGCTGTTTTTTAAGGAATCACAAAAGAGGGAAGTATGAAAAGGATGGCACTGACTATTTATTAAACAAAAATCTGGAAAACATGAGGCAGGGATTGACAGAAAAGTAAAGTCAATGAAACCTCACTCTCATCCATGACATTACAGAGTTCATAAGTGCCAGGCTGCAGATGGCACGTTCTCTTACAATATAAAAGAAGTGTGCAATCTCCAGACCTATTTTTGTGAAAGAAAATATATCCTGACGGGACTCACACAGGAGCCATCTCTGGCCCCAGGCACAGAGCATCATGAAGGCAGGAGAAAAGCAATGCTCTGAGCTCTTCATGAGTCCTCCATGTGAAATCATTGGTTGATGATCCCTGGATGAGTGGACAGGGTCAGGACCCTTCCTGTTCCAGTGAGGGTCTCTCTCAGTCCTGCTCCTACACAGCACTCACCACAAGTGTTTATTCTGAGGACTCTGGTCTCCAGTAGCCACTCTCTATGGGAGCAGAGGTGAGCTCCCTGAGGGCTCCTGTGCTTCCCATCACAGACAGGCTCCTTCTGGTCCTGAAACTTAAGTCCACCCTCAGGGCCAGCACCTGCTGAGGAATGCAAATCTCCCCTGGCTCCACCCATCCCTGGGTTGAAAAGCCAAAGCTGGGCCTGGGTGCTCAGTGGTGTGCAGCCATGGCCAGGCTTGCTTCCTCCTTGCTGCTGCTGCTTGTCCCTGCATGTGAGTGCCAAGGCCACCCATAGGATGGACCTTCCTATCCTCACCCTGGTCCAACCTCATCTTCTGTTTCTTTCTTCACAGATGTCCTGTCCCAGGTCACCTTGAAGGAGTCTGGCCCTGGGCTCTTGCAGCCCTCTGAGACCCTCAGTCTGACCTGCACTTGCTCTGGGTTTTCACTGAGCACTTATGGTTTAGGTGTGGGCTGGATCCGTCAGCCTCCAGGGAAGGGTCTGGAGTGGCAGGCACTCATTTATTGGGATGATGATACAAGGTACAACCCGTCCCTGAAGAGCTGGCTCACCATCTCCAAGGACAGCTCCAACAACCGGGTGTTCCTCAAGCTCGCCAGTGTGGACACTGCAGACTCTGCCACATACTACTGTGCTCGGAGAACACACTGTCACAGCCTCCGTTTGCAGCTGTACAGTATTTCAGGCTGGTCCTCAGCTCTGTGTCTCTTCCTACAATGCAGGAGGTGTGGAGCGGGCACACATTTCCTGCTAGCCTCTGGGATTTCCTTTTCACTCTGAGCTTCACAACCTTGGATTTCTGCTTACAACTGAGGACCTTTTAAATTTTTCACAAATAAGCACCATTTATGTTTACTTTTATAAAGATGAAAGGTGTCTGTTACCTAAACCAGGGGGTTCAGTGCTATGTATATATCAGCCTTTATTCTCAAATCCCCACAGCACCGTATTCTAAATTATTTAATGACCATTTATATTAAACAACTGAATTAGGAGAAGAACGGTGTTACTCGATAAGCATTCTCACACTGAGTCAGTGGACAAAGGGAGCCAGGGAAACTCCCACATATCTCAGGAGATTTCCAAGGCCATTGGTTGATCTCCCCAAATGATGGTGACACCCTATTGCACACTTACATATCTCACTTAATGTGGAGAGGGTCAAGTGGTGCCTAAATTGTGGTTTTCCTCCTACTGATTAGCAGTCATAATACTGGTTGGTACTTTGCTAGGTTCAGAGGAGAAATTTAATAACCAACCTAGCTACAAACGCTGTCACCTATAATGATGACTTGTAAGATATTCTGGTGCAATTGTGCCAGAAAGATTGTGGGAGTGATTAACTATTCTCTGATTGGATTTATGGTCCACTCCATGACATGGAACCCTGAACCTGCTAAGGTGTCTTAGAACCTGAGACTGCATAGCCATGGCTCTGGGGGGAAACCCAATTTTTCTGATAGAGGAACATAGCAATAAAATGATTCAATGACATACCCACAAATACAATACATCAGTGCCTCTCACAGCCATTATTAGAAAGGCTTCTTGCAGTGTGTTGTACCTAACATAGAGAACCACAAGAGGACAGAGGACATGTAAAGAGTGAGATATTGGAGCAACCCTACATGGGTTGTCTTCATCAAACCTTCCCCTTCAGGACTCAGGGACTTGTGCAGAAGAGGAGTAAGAAAGACTCATAAATGACTTCAAAGAAACAGGCTCCACTAGACACAACAGCACTGGTGCACATATGAACTCATATTTAATGTGGAAGCAAACACAGAACATGCACAGGTTCAAGCCAAATGGGGCCTCAGTGCTAAAAGTGGTGAGTGGACATGGGCTCTTACCTCTACCGAGATGCTATCTGCAAGTGACACCACTTGCCAAGGAAAAATTAGTTTTCTTCAGTGGATTCACCCTGGCTATATTATCCACATTTTAGGGTAGTCCCCATACCCAGGACCAGCAGAAAACTAACACAATGGTATCTGAAGATTTTTTGTTTCATATAACTCTCATATAACAATCATTTCCTTTTATTCATAATAGCCAGAACCTGGAAACATCCCAGATGTCCCTCAAGGGAGGAATGGATACAGAAGTTGTGGTACATTTACACAATGGAATACTAGTCAGCAATTAAAAACAAGGAAATCACAAAATTTGTAGGCAAATGTGGGATCTAGACACACACTGTATATACTCACTTACAAGTGGATATTAGACCTATAAGATAGGATAAACATACTAAAATCTGTAAACCTAAAGAAGCTAAACAAGAAGGAGAACCCGGGTAAGATGAACAATCTTCACTTAGAAAGACAAATGGAATGGATATTGGAAGTAGGAGAAAACAAGAAACAGGACAGGAGCCTACCACAGAGGGCCTCTGAATGACTCTACTTAGTCCTGTACCAAAGCAGATGCCGAGACTCATAACCAAACCTTGGGCAGAATGCAGGGAATCATATGAATGAAGGGGGAGTTAGTAAGACCTGGAGAGGACAGGAGCTCCACAAGGACCAACTATATCTGGGCACAGGGTTCTTTTCTGAGACTGATTCTCCAACCAAGGACCATGTATGGATATAACCTAGAACCCCTGCTCAGATAGAGTCCATGGCAGCTCAGTATCCAAGTGGGTATCCTAGTAAGGGGAATAGGGAAGCTCTCTGACATGAACTCAGTGGTTGGCTCTTTTACCGCCCTCCCCCATGAGAGAGGAGCAGCCTTCCTAGGCCACAGAAGAGGGCAGTGAGCCAGTCTTGATGAGACCTGATAAGCTAGGGTTAGATGAAAGTAAAAGACCTCCACTATCAGTGGACTTAGAAAGGGGTGGGGAAGAAATGAGGGAGGGAGTGGAAGGAATTGAGGAAGGGGGCTACAGCTGGGATACAAAGTAATAAACTGTAATTAATATAAAAATAAAAAAATAATTACAAAAATCAATTATTTCCTGGTTTTGTGAGTAATATTAAAGTGGTATAAAAGCAAGCCTTGTCTGCAAAAGCTCCAGGATGAAGCAGGGAATGCATTCCTTCAGACAGACTTAAGACTCTGGCTTCACTGTCTTGCTGCTCATCACAGAAATATCCTTCCTGTCTTGTCTCTAACGGGTTTAGGACTGGATATTGAAGTAGTGCTATTCCTAATTTTCTGAGAAAGCACCAGATTGATTTCCAAAGTAGTTGTACAAGTTTGCATTCCCACCAGCAATGGAGGAGGGTTCCCCTTTCTCAACATCCTCTCTAGGATGTGTTGACACTTCTCGATCTTGGCCATCCTATGGTGTATGATGGAATCTCAAAATGGTTTTGATTTGTGTTTTTTGGTCACTTTTTGGAGCTCCTGTCTCCTCCTGGTCCTCCTAGCCCCCTCTTTTTCCATAAGACTTCGCACACTCTCCCCACAGTTGAGAATTTCTTTAAGTGTTTCTCCACAATTCGATATTCTGTTCAGAATCTCTGTTTAGCTCTGTACCCCATTATTAATTGGGTTATTTAATTGTTGCATGTCTAATTTCTTGAGTTATTTATATATTGTGGTTATTAGCCCTCTGTCGAATGTAAGGTTGATGAAGATCTTTTCCCAGTCTGTAAGCTCTCATTTTGTTCTGCTGACAGTGTCCTTTGCTTTACAGAAGTTTTTTACTTTCATGAGGTTCCACTTAGTAATTGTTGGTCTTAGAACCTGTGTTGTTGGTGTTCTCTTTAGGAAGTTGTCTCCTGTGCCAAGGAGTTGTCTTCTCCACGCTTTCTTCTAATATATTTACTGTATACGATTTTATGTTAAGGTCTCTGATCCACTTGGACCTTAATTTTGTTTAGGTTGATAGACATGGGTCTATTTGCATTGTTACATCTGGACATCCAGCTAGACCAGCGCTATTAGTTGAAGATGCTATCTTTTTCCATTGTATGATTTTGGCATCTTTGGAAAATCAGGTGTCTGAAGGTGTGTGGCTGCATTTTAGTGTATTTGATTCGATTCCATTGATCCACCATTCTGTTTCTGTGCTAGTACCATGCAGGTTGTATTACTGTTGTTCTTTAGTTCAGCTTAAAATCAGGGCTGGAGAAACCTCCAGAAGATCTTTTGTTTTAGAGGATTGTTTTAGCTATTCTGGGCTTTTGTTTGTGTGTTTGTTTTTCTGTATGAAGTTGAGAATTTTTCTTTCAAGGTCTGCAAAGAATTGTGTTAATGTTTTTATGGGAATTGCACTGAATCTGTAGATTTCTTTTGGTAAGATGGCCATTTTTCCTATGTTAATCCTACCAAACCATGAACATAGGACATCTTTCCATTCTCTGATAACTTCTTCAGTTTCTTTCTTCAAAGACTTGAAGTTTTTTCATACAAGACTTTCAGTTGCTTTGTAAGAATTACACCAACATATCGTTTTTGTGTCTATTGTAAAAGGTTTTGTTTCCCTATTTTCTCTCAGCCCATTTGTCTTCTGTATACAGAAGGGCTAATGATTTTTTTTAGTTAATTTTGTATCCAGTCACTTTACTGAAGGTGTTTATTAGCTGTAGGAGTTCCCTGGTAGAATTTTTGGGGTCACTCTTGTATATTATCTTATCATCTGCAAATAGTGATACTTTGACTTCTTTTCTGATTTGAATCTCCTTAATCTCCTTTAGTTGACTTACTGGTCTACCTAGGACTTCAAGTACTATGTTGAAGAGATATGGAGTGAGGGAACATACTTGCCTTGTCCCTGATTTCAGTAGAATTGATTTAAGTTTCTTTCCATTTAGTTTGATGTTGGCTATAAGGTTGCTGTATATTGCTTTTACTATGGTTAGTTAAGTGCCTTGTATCTCTGAACACTCTGGGACATTAAACATGAATTGGTGTTGCATTTTATCAAATGTGTTTTTGGCATCTGTTGAGATGATCCTGTGTTGTTGTTGTTTTTTCTTGTTGTTGTTTGCTTGCTTTCTTTTACTTTGTTTATATGAGGAATTACAATGATGGATTTTGTTTTGTGACATGTAAACATGATTTTGCTAAAATTCCAAGTTGCAGATATTAGTGTATGTTGCTGAACTTGGTCTTTCCCAGGTGGAATTAGTTGAATTCTGAGAACTTTAGGGGTATAATATGACAGGTGATAGGAAGAAGGTGTAGCTGCTCAGAGGAAGTTGGCTTGCTGCTGCTTCATCCTGATGCTGTATTTGCTGTTTGCTGATTTTCTGGTTACCTGAACTTCTGGAATTTTGGATGACTGATATTGGAAACTGCCCCAAAAGAATCCTATGACTCTAGCCAGCAGGAAGTAGCACAGAAAACTGCTCCCAATCCTAACTAACTTCCTTTTCCTCCTACCCAGTGCTGGGGGTTTGGAAGGGAGATAGAAGCATTTAATAAGTCTAAATAAAATAGGTTTGTTAAAAATCAAGGTCAACACCTTGATAGAACAGCACCTGCATGCCTTGGATGAAGCCTACTTGGTCATACTGGATAATATCTTTGATGTTTTCCTGGATTTCAATTGCTAGTATTTTACTGAGTATATTTGTGTCAAAGTTCATAAGGGAAATTTCTCTAAAAATCGCTTTCTTTGTTGGGTCTTTGTAAGGTTTATGTATCAAGGTGACTGTGGCTTATAGAATGAGTTTGGTAATGTTCTGTCTGTTTCTATTTTATGGATTAGTTTTAAGGGTA